ACTTCTTGCTTCCCTTTGACGCGCAGGACCCTGAAACTGTGGTGAGTAGATAAGTGTTTAACATATCTGGTCTCATTTTTGAGTTTATTAGAATATTGCACATTATTTTGTTTTTCTGTTATCCAGTTTGAATTATATATTACATATCTGCTTTGTTTTGTTTAAGCATCACATGACGTGACCTGCTTTTTACTTGAAATCCGCGTCTGTGTGTCTATGCTGTGTGTCCAGCTGGAGTTGGGAAGCCAAATCTTTGACGGTGTGGCCAGTCTTATCTATGACTGCCTAGACGTCAGAAGGCAGTATCAGCAATACCGGAACAATGTTAAATTCATCAGTGTGCCTGCTGTTGTGAAGCACTCAGAGCCTGTGGAGGTAAATATATGTAGATACAGTTAGACACCGGTAGTTTTCTTGAATGGATTTATTTTATAAAATAGGTTTGTAGCAGAGGATGGTTTCGATCCATCGACCTCTGGGTTATGGGCCCAGCACGCTTCCGCTGCGCCACTCTGCTTACGCTTGTGATGTGACTCAAACCCACAATCCCTGGCTTAAGAAGCCTATCCATTAGGCTTCATGCACTGGTTTTAACCCACTAGGTACAAACCAGTGTTCACTAACCTGCACTTAACCCTCCGTTTTTGGCTTTATCAAAACAAAATACAAAAAAGATTGTCAATCACACTATCAAAATAAAAGTGTTGATATTCTGGTTGGTAAATGTGTGGGTTTTTTTTCAAGAGTATATTGAGGAGGATAGATCTATACTGAAATGAATCCTCTGATAATCAGACAACATAGCTTTTTATCTAAAAACAACACTCCAGATATGACCCACAGCACTGGTCCTGAACCTCTACACTGACATCATTGTTTTTCTTTCTCTTTATTTGTTGATATTTGTCAGAATGGAGATGATTTTTCTGTTCCTTGTGCCAGGTTGTGTCAGCAGCTCCAACCCCACTCTCCAAGAAGAAGTCAGGTCAGGAGGAAGCCCCAGGAGACCAAGGTGAAATTTTGTTATTGTTATTGTTCAAATGGACTATTTTGGTGTAGTCTTGTTTGGCATTTTGAATTAAAACCTGGATGGTTTCTTCTTGGTGGACAGAGAACAGGCTCCTTCCTCTCTCTCTAGATGTGGACATGTGTTACTATAACAACCTGCTGGACCTGGTTGCTCCTGAGGCCTGCTCTGTGCCTTTGATCCTGCACTGTATGTTGGAACAGGTATGTGTGCATTTGGTTTTGTGAATGTGCAGTTCTGCTCTATCTCTTACTGTGTGTGAAAGAAGCATTTCCAAATATGGTCGACGGGAAAATGTTGTGTGACTGATTAATGAATAGCTAAAATGAGGACTGAGGACATATTAGAATTTGTACAATTTGTGTCTCTAGGTGGTGATTTCTGCAGAGCAGTCCTTGTCTGCCCACTCCCATGTGGCTGAGGACTCCAAACCTCTCAGCAGCCCCTGGTTAGACCACCAGCTGGTCAGCTATATGCTCCAAAACTTCTTGCCACTAGTACAAAAAGAAGAGGAGAGACTCTATGTATTAAACAACCTCCTAAACACAGTACAGAATGAAGAGGATAAGAAGGTATAGGTACCACTGCATAACAATACACACCTAGATAAATCCAAAGAACACGTGCTGAGAAGACCACAAAAAATCGCTAAGCCTCCAGCCTAGTATGTGAAGCATTGGTGGTTCAGTGGTAGAATTCTCGCCTGCCACGCGGGAGGCCCGGGTTCGATTCCCGGCCAATGCAGCAGCTTTTTTTCTTTTTTTCCCCCCTTCTCCTTTTAAATAGAAGGCGCCGACTCAAGACAAGGTCATATTTCTGTGGGCAGGATTAGTGTCAGACACTTAAAGCTGAATAGCAAATCCCCACAAGCTCTTGTGTTATGGTAATAGAGCACTTGCGGCAACATTCCCCAAGTAGGATGGGCTTGGTTGTGACGTATGGGGGATGGGTGGGGTAAAAGACTCGGTTTCCTGAACATGTGACAGGAAAACCATGTCATCTATTTCATGCTGTTTATGCATGAAAAGATTTTTTCATTTTTACGGAACAAAAGGTTTTGGTGTTCAAAACATTTGTATTTTTAATGAACTCAAACTCACATTTAAGTCATAACTCAGTCACATGGATGCATTAATAGAAGAATCCAATTCCAAATCTAATTCATCAAAATGAATCAGATATGGATTCTTCAAGAAATACTCCAATATAATAATGCTTAACACGTCCTTATTAATCCTTATTGTAGAGATTAATCAGAGCTGCGTAATGCTGAAATAACAAGTACAACAGAGTAACCATGCTACAAATACATACCAGTGCACCACCAGCAGATGGTGCTATATTCAATGTGTAACTTTAGCAGAAATATTGAGGTTTTCTGTATATATGTCTAATAAATACTAATACTAAGAAACCAGCCATGAGCTCAAAGGAAGAAAGATTTTGGAGGGTAGGACAGGATTCCTTTAAATATGACTTTGCTTCTAAGATTTTCCATAAGCTCCTTTTAAACATTCACTCTAATCATGAAAACAGCTTGAAGCTGCTACTTTATGAACATATGCATATGCATTAAGCTGGCTTTTTATTCCTGCATACAGGAAATTCACATTACAGCACCAGCATTGTTCCACAAACCCCACAGAAAGCACAAAAACACAGTTTACATTGCTTTAGTTGGGAGATTTTCACTGAGGCCTTAAAAATACTCCAAACACTTTGCATGTTTATGATAAGTGTTCCCTCACTCAGAATCACAACTCTAGGTCAGGTTAACAAGACTCTTATTTAATATATTTGACATTTTTGACATTTTAACAAATTCTTACTAGGATCTGTTGCTCATACCAGCAAAGAGAAATTTTATCTCCTGCTTAAGTGAAAAACTTGATCAGAAACTAACTGCAAATAATGTTGTTAACTTCTATCAGTAAAGGTTTATAAGCTCCAGTTTAACAATGAGTTCTGGGTTCTCAGGTACGCTTAGAGCACAGTGTACAATTTATTAATGTTTCTCAATTTTATTATCTTTGTTTATCTGTGCTAGAGGCTAGTGGCGAAATTTGGAGCAAGGGAAACTGACAGGAAGACTGAGCAACCTCTGGTTATCAGACACCATGATGAGCGGGCCCAGCGCTTGAGAGACATCAGTGTAAGTCATTTTATTGTATTTTAAAATCAAGTTTTTATGTTGTCCGTGTGTGATTTTTACATGATATTAAGAAAATGACTGCCTGGTTTAACAAGAGCTGCTGTGTATTTGTGTACATGCACGTGACCCTCTTAGGTGGTTCAGGATTTCGATCCGACAGAGGTGGAGTTGTCCATGATGAGACTGTCTCCGGTGTGGGAGATGATCGAGTCAGTCACTCAGCAGAAAAACAGAAAATCTTGTTGGATGTCCATCAAACAGCAGCTACAGCACTACTGCACAGATGGTCAGAACCTGTGCTTAAGGCCTCAGGCCAACTCACTGTACCTGCTTACAGTATATGTTGGTGAATCTTGTGATAAAGTTCTTGATTCATCGGCTTCCTACAGATGATGTGTCATGGCCTGAGGTGGAGCGTTTTTTTCATCAGAGCGTCTTGGAGGCTATGCCGCTGTCCGGGGTGGATCAGCAGGGTGTGTTACGTGGAATAGCAGACCCAGCACAGCAGCAGACATCAATAGTAATCCCCTGGGATGACCCGTTATCCTTTGCTAAACAGCAGCTTTATAACATGAGGAACAAAGGTCTGATGTTATATTAGTTAATTCACTTACTGTTATGTTATGACACTTGCTTACATGCAGTATGTTACATTTTACAACTCACTCATGAAACACCCTACATCACTGCTGTACTTTACTATAGATCCAACATTTCTTACTGACAAGCCTTCTAACAGAGAGGTATTATTCTTATATTTATCTCTTTATTTATTTATTTTTTAGCTTGCTTTAATTAAAAAAAAAAAAGAAAACAGCAATGGATCCTGTATTTTCCCCCCAGGAGCAGAGTGGTAGAGTGTGTAGCCACCTGGACTTATCTGACATACAGAGCTGTAGGTTGAGATCTCTGTTTCACTGGCGCTATGCTGAGCACCACAATGCCACCGTCCTGCCTCAGGTGATATATCTGTTTTATCTTGTTAAATGTGTTAGTGGTGTCACATTAGACGTACTGTGGTTACTACACGTTAAGTCTCCTCTACTCTGAAGCTTTAAATGTAAAATGCAAGAGATGAAATGGGTTTAATGAGCAAACTAAACAAAGTTGAGGCTATACTCTGCAGCAGTATTATGTACATCCTGCAGGAAAGCATAAAACAGCACCGTTCTTTATGTGTTTTTACAGTTTGAGGCATTTGCTTGGATATTTTGACTTCCTTCTTTTGTGTAGTTGCTCCAGTTAGCATCAGAGGAATACTGCTGCTTGGACACCTTCAGAGGAAGCCATAACAACATCCTATACGTTTTTTGCCACAATCCCATGAGTCCTCAACGCCAGTCCAGGGAGTTCTGGCATGTGGCTCTTCACACCGATGTCAAGTTCAGGTGTGAAATGATGCTTGTTACAAGAGGAATAGTAAGAAATCTTTTGCTGATTGCTTCCATGGATGTACATGTCTGTGTCATAGCAATGTGTTGGAACTGAGTACTCACTCCTGGATTCATTAAAGAGCGTAATCTGCAGCTCACTCTACATTGTCCTGTCTGTCTGTACAGGAGTTACTTTGAGCATGTGGCAGATACTGTTTCACAGTGGACGAGACAGGAGGAATCGAAGAGAGACACAACGCAAGACGGAAACGACACTCCAAAATCTGATTCTCCAAAAGGTATCGTACTATAGTGATCAATATGTGGCTCTACCGATTTAACCTTGCTTACCTCTGTATACATATAATATGTGATTTCTTCCTGGACTAGATGACAATACTGTTTGTTCTTCCAAGGAGGATGAGAGAATGGAAGTCTTCGTCAGAAAAGGCTCCCTTAAAGTCAGTACAGGCTAACACACCAGTACACACACGTGAATCTGACATGGAGAATTTCATAGAGCAGTCTCATTTCTTATATCCCTCAGATGCTTTTTCACAGAGCAGTTAAGTAATAAATTCATGAGTTCAAATTCATAATCCAGTTCTAATAGTTCCAGTTTTCAGTATTTTATGTGTAAAGAGATAAAATAAGATTTCTCATTATCTCAGGATAGAACACAGCCACATTAAACTACTTTAGAGTCACCAAAGTGTTACATGGTTACAGTATTATGGTGTTACAGGCCTGGAAGTTGGAGCAGGAGCGTCAGAAGGAAGAGGCGATACCCAAAAAGTCAAAGAAAGAGGATTTGCCGAAAGATAAGCAGCAGAAAAAGGAGGATAAGTCAACCGACAACAAGAAAAAGAAAACGTCATCTGATGACAAGAAGAGCAGGCCAGGGACGGAAGGCAGCTCAGCCAACCCTCCCACAGAGTCAGCTATCACAACAGCGCCCCCTGTGGATGAAGTTGTAGAAGTACAGCATGCAGAGGAACCTTTCAGTGTGAGAGCACACACCTAGAACCCATTACAGAACTAAACTCGTGTTTTGGTTAAGGTCTTGATAAGTGAAACAGCTTCGTTCAGGTTAAGTAATAAATGACTCCATGCATATGATGTGTGTGTCCAATGTTTAGGGTTTCACTGGCTACATCATGGATGGAAAATTGATCCATGTGTCAGGTTGTCTCCAGTACCTTTTCCCCTCCGATGGAGGACGTGTCACTGTGGAGACAGTCAGCTTTGTTCAAGGTACGGGATCTGTCTGTGTTCTTCATGCATCTAAGCAGACCTTCAACTACAAACTCACAAACAGCTTACTTAGACACTATAGCAAACTACAAACATGTGTTATATCTTAAGATAACATAAAAAGTTAAACCATTCGTACAGTTTTTCTCCCCCTCCCGCAGCTATATTTCCCTAAGAATGGAAAAAATGTTGAAGTATTTATGAGCTTAGTTCCATTATTAGACAAATGACACCATAAATCAATGAAAAACATAAATAAAGCAAAGGTCAAATATTCCTCAGTAACACATAGTTTTTCCTCCAGGTTCCAGCCAAATGAAAGTCGTTGTGAAGAAGGATGGACATCATTTCTACACACACATCAACCAATTTGTTGTTGATCCTGCAAAATGTCCCCCTCATAACCAAGACAATAAAAACATTGAACCGGAAAAGGACTGTAGAGGTAAAGATGCTACCTGTTGTAATTTTAGGTTACCTTTTTATACACCTGTGTAAATACCACAGATATTGTGAATGATATGTGATTTATAGACTCATTTAGTGTGCGTGTGTGTTTGCGGTCTCTTTCAGGGGCAGAACCTGCGGAGATAAAAACAGTGAAGCAGGGCTCCTTCTCAGCTGTGCTTGACAATAGAATTCGTCTTTCATACAGTTTCTACGGTCCCACGGGAGAGCGCACAGGTATTACACTCAGACATACAGTACATATTTATAAAAGAAAGTCTTTTTTTTATACTTAAAGTTGCAAACGGGTTAAATACAGTACTGAATAGTTAATAAACTCAGTGCATCTGACATTTATTAAGCCTGGAGCATCAAGTTTAAAAGGCCTTGACTGTACTGGTAGCGTAGTGTTTTTGTTTGGTCAGACCTGCACTTTAGTAACCCCTTTGCCCAGTTATCGATCCATCCTTGGCTCTTCTTCTTTTTCTTCTCTATTTGCATTTTATCTGCAAACTCAGTATTCTTTTTTAAGATTATGCAGATGGCATCCATTTCTACGCCCTAGTGAAAGACAGTGAAAGAGGGCAGGATACATCAGGTGATGGAGATGCTTTTCAGTAGCTTCCACAAATGTCAGTCTATCTTCACTGTGGGTCAGGTCTAAATCACTGTCCAGTAATGCTTCCTTCTGGACACATTTCAAAACTTTCAGTGCTTCCACACTCGCTCTGACATTGAGGAGGGTATATGTGCATTTATTTCATCCTGTCTGGACTTTGGAAAATGGATTGTAGAAAAGAACACAGACAGACAAATGAACAGAATTTTTAACACCTGCAATTAGTTCAAAACACTTTTTTAAAATTTCAAAACAGTATCTTGTGTTTCGGCCTCCTTATACTGGTTACAATTAAAGTTTTAAGATTGACTTTAATATTTTTAATCCCATTTAACTTTAAACAGGATAGGCTCCAGCTTCCTCACAAGCCTGAATCGGATGAGCAGAAGAAAGCACTTTGTTGCTTGGCTTGAATTGCTACAGCTTAGTGCCTTGCTGATGGTCTACATATTAGATATTTCCTTTTTACTGCACTGATCTCACTTGTTGTGAGCAGTTTCTGTTTAATGTCCCATGTTGAGTTAGTTTGTCTCTGTTTGATTTATAGTCTTCTTTGTGATGTGAAAATCCCTTACGTGTTATTAAAGTACTTTTTTAAATAAAGTTATTATTATTATAGTAATTTCCCAGGAAACCAAAGGCAAAGTACCAGAGACTTCTATCGCAGACCCCATTCCTCTATCTGCCTCCATCCACTGCTCCAAGGAAAAAGATGCAGCGTCAGTTCCCTCAAAGACACAAACCACATCCAGCAGACCTCCAGAGTCCCAGGTTAACACGCATTTACATGTTTACAGAAAATAATGTAGATTAATGTAGACTATATGTACGTGTACACATAGGTTTTTAACCATAAAATATGTTCTGTCATTAGACTAAATATGTAATGTATGTCTAAGGGTTGTGAAGGTCAACCTGCAGAGCAATCAAATTTGTTCAGCGGTCTCAGCCTCTCTATTCCTAATGGCCTCATGCTGCAATATCTGCGAGAAGATACACAAGGTCAGTAACGGATGTGTTTAGAATTTATAGTACCTATGCAGTCAGTTTTGCAGACTCCCGTCCTTGGTGCAAGTAGGACCCTGTTCGTGCTCGTAGAGACTCATCTGTATATCTTCTGTGCTCAAATTGACCTGCTTACCCGCTTATGTGCCGAGACTAGTGCCACATTTTGGTGGCCTATCTACAAATAGCTTGAATTTAATGAATGTGTCTTTCATGAAGTTTTAGCACAACTTTCTGCATCTACTATAATCCCATTAACCATTCTGCATATGCTAAAGAGTCATACTCAGATATATGTGACATGATTTGTGTGTGTTTTTGTGTCCATGTAAAGAAGGAGGTATTATGGTGAGACAAAGCTTTCCTCTACATGGCAAAGGAAAGGCAAGACATCTTCAGGATACATCCCTCTCCAAAGAATTGTCCCGTATTATCACCAGCCAGGGAGCTGTGATCCGTTACATGAGAGATGGATCCACAGAGGTACACTCATTCATACTGAGGCACATTTTGAAATAAATATAAAACTGACTCCAGGCAGGTAGTTCTTGAATAGCTGCACAAATTGTTACATAAAAACGGTGAAGAATCATGCCCGTTTTTTCTGGCTTCTCTTGTTTTTTTTGTACTGCAGGTGCTGTTTGCTGATGGCTCAGTCAGTTTCAGTCAGGATTCTGGTCCAGTGTGGGTCCCTGACTCTGAGGTTCAGGAGCAAAACTCTGATCAGGAATCTGAGGACAGCAAGAAAGGTTAGACTGGTGTACCACTGAATACAAAACAGCGCTTCTTCTGTCTCGTAATGAGTGTGACGGGACGCTTGCTGGGAAGATAATTAATTTTCAGTGGTACAGTTATACTCTCTTTGCATGTCTTGTGTCTCTGCAGAACAGGGCTCAAAGGAGGGGACTAAGGATCACAGAGGGTGTTGGTTAACTACAACTCCATGTGGAGATCGCATCTGTACTGTTGGGACCACACACAAAAACATGCCAACCACGTCCCTTCTCACTTACAAGGCTACTGACCCCATCACCCATCAGGCAAGAAAGTACTATTTCTTCTAAATTATACAGGCTACCAACATTGCAATTAAGTCCATAATAAAAATGTGAGAGTTAAAAAATCCTCACGGTGCTTGGGGGCAGAAATTTCATTTCAGAGTGTTCACACTTTGATGTTCTCTGAGTACCTTGAAGTATATGATATATAGAGAGAAATGAGACTCATTCTGAAATCGTCTTATGCTTTTCATCGCTAACTTAGCTCGCTGACTCTGGTTTCTTGTGTTAGGTGATGCTGAACCGCGAGGATCTGGTGGTTTCTGTCCAGAACCCAGATGGGTCTGTAGTTGTAGAGCATGCAGATGGAACCAGGATTACCAGCCTCTTGCAAGAAAGGCCAATGAATGCTAATCCACACTGTTTGCTGCGCACTGGTGACCAGCAGGCTCACAGTACATTGATCAAATCCATACTCAGCAGTAGACCTGCACTTACAGATGACTACACAAATATATGCAGTATACATGCTATCACCATTAAAATACATTATAATCTCTAAGCAGATTTTTATATCTGATTTATGTTCCTGTGACATTTACTTTTCCAGGACAGCAGCCAGGGAGTGTAACCCTTAAATCAGCCTCTCAAAGTGCAAGCGACTGCACTGAGTGTGTGGAAAGCATTGCTGGGGACATGGATGTCAAGGACACTTGTCTCAATGGAGACATCAGCAGGAAGAGTGCAGGGAATGCATGTGACCGGGAGGGAGCTGTTCATGTGTGCACAAATCTGAATCAGTGTGGATGTATGTGTGATGAAAAAGAAAGTACTGAAAGTAGTGTGCATATGAATAGTGAACATGGTGTGTTTGCCAAAGAGACTGCGACTCAGAATGTTGAGACTAAAGGGTGTGGGAAGGATGAATCAAGGATGTCTGCTAAAGAGCGGATGGTGTTGATAGAGAAGGAGGGCTGCGCCACAGTAGTGATGTATCCAGAGCGTCAAACGGCTCATATCTTTTTAGCCGATGGAACGGTCGTCACTGGGAACAATCAAAGAGAATACGAGGTGCGTGATTTGCCAGCAGATGGCACCAAAACTTAAATAAAAGCTTGGAACTAGTGACTTTAAGACATGGATAAGGCTGCACTTTGACACTTGTTTGCAGAACTGTTGATCCATATTTGTACTTTGTACCCAAGGTGTTCCCATCCAGTGTAGGAGTCCTGTCCATCAGAAGCGATGGAACATGCGTGTACTCCTCAGACCCACTCGTAACTCCAAGTCCAAAGGGGTCTACTCCCACTGAACAGACAGGAATTTACACTATGAGTCATACGGGCAAAGTGGCCTGTGAAATTACAGACCCTGATAGGAACCATTTCCAGGTCAGTTTCTCTGATCACAAGATAGTGAGCCTATGTTGCTGTGCAGGTCTTTTTTAAGGTGGTTAGCATAGAAGGAATGTGGGAATTTGGATCCATGAAATAGTTTGCTATATTCTTAAAGTCTCAAAGAAAAACCTATGATGGGAAAAAAATATAGAAATTCATTAAGCTCGTATTATTTTTATTTTTGGTAACATGCTGAACTTTGTTGCAGGTTATGGAGGATGGGCAGATATCTGTGCTAAACTTGAGACCTGCTACTAGCACGCTTAAACAAACGGAGGAAGAGCTAGAAAAGGAAGAGGACAGTGAAACGGATGGGCCTCGTGAAAAACCCAGAGAGCAGTGTCCCAGGTAGCTTGGCTGATTGTGTGTATGTTGTGTGTGTGTCTGTGTGTCACCATGGCAAAATGCAATTCTAGAGAAACTTAAGCAACCTAAAAATGCCCTTTTGACTATTATTTCTGTGTTTACATGCAACAGCCATTATGTAATAAAGTTGTAGTGACTACTGAGAACTTGTATGTCAAAATGTCAGCAACATCCACTCGTATTTCAATTGTTTTTAATTGTCCACAAGATCAAAGAAAAGACAATTCACAGGTCATTTAGTAAGAAAACTCTTATAAACTGTATTTGTTATGTTTTTTTAACTCTCTAAAAGAAAGGTAGCAGAAATGAATGCCAAATAACTAAACTGATGTCCGGCATTGTTACTCACAGTCTGCTATTATCTATTATATCTATTTTGTCTTCCAGGTTGTTTCTGGTGCATGAGGATGGCTCAGGCACTGAACTGCTGAGCTCTCAAACTGTAAAGGAGCTGCTCTGCCAGGCGTACTTGGACCCTACCATAGCACTGTTGAAGGAACAATTGGCAAACACACAAGGTTTAATGTCTCCTAAATCAAGAAACAACTGGACTGAATAAAATTGTTCTGTGGTTTTTGTTAAAGAATGTCCCCCAAAAAACTTCCACATAGTGTATAATGACAGTTAACTGTCTCTAATGTTGAGTGTACTTTTGTCATTCTGTTACATCAGGAGATGGATAAAAGAAACTATTCAGTTAACCAGGAAGTAATGTGAGGTTTGTGGGTGTGTCTGTTCCAGATGAGTTTGGCATCACTATCCTAAAGCCCAGCCACCAGAGTGTGTGGTCTCAGTGGTTGCTTAACAAACAGAACCCTGAAATTACCCCTCCCAACCTCAGAAACCGCAGCTGGCATGACTTCCCCGCAGTAGAAGTATGTCTATACATGCTTACACATATCACACACACACACAGAAACAGCACTTGAAATCCATTTTACTGTTTTTGCGTTCCTCTCAAATCCAGAAGAAGAGTCCAGGTCCTCCATTTGGTACTGACGTAGTGTATAATTTGGGTCTGAGAATGAGGCCTGCAGGTTCTGCAGTACGTCATCGGCCTGTCAGGAGCTGCCCTAAGGTCCTGGAGCTGAGAGAACTATACCAGCACCGACCATTCACCACACCACTCAAAAATACTGTAGACTCACGATTAAAGGTAAAATTATTCTTTATCATTTGTCTTCAAAACTGGAGTTTGTGCTAAAACATTTGAGAAAGATATAAATCATCTCGTTAATGTGACTTCAGACATATCTAGAAATGTGGCTTTTACTGCAGGAATACATCGAGAGTTTGATGGAAAGAGAGCAACGGTCAGAAAAGATGAAAGTTAAAGACCCTCGCTCTGAGGAGGAGACTGCCCATGCCAGTGATCTCATCAATCTGATTTTGGTAAGCACACACACACATACACATATTGAGTATAACAATGATAATGTTTATAGTTATAGGGAACATTGTGTGGCTCTTTCCCTCTACTACATACTGGCTTCTAAAAGTAAACCTTGTACTATAACATAAAGGACAAAAGCTGACTTATATTGCACTTTGTAGTCTTTTCCAGAGGAAGATGATGCCAGTCACACCATTGATAGGAGGATTTCAGGTTGGTAAGACAACATCTGTAAACCAGTTCATTTGGTTTTTAGAGTTGGCTTGTACCTGATTTAGTCCTGGTTTGGTGTCAGAATACTGAGGGGAAAGTACACCTTTTGTTGTATGTGTCCACAGAGGACGTAGCCAGTCTGTACAGCCAAGGAATCTGTAGCCCAGCTGAACAGTCAGATGTTTCTCAAGACTTTGCCACGGCACAAAGTGACAGCTTGGAGAAATTAAACCGGTACGTGTGCTAAAATAATCTCATCTTCACTAAGGTGAAAGTTCCGGGTTTTAATCTGTGTAAATATGCTTTTGAAATGCTCTTTTTCTTTCCAGTTGTACCAAAGACAAGGATACAACATGGACTGAAAAACTTACACAGTACAGGTAAAAACATTATTACTGATTGTGAGTAATAACCTTAATATAACAAAGCAGCCTTTGCATCTTAGCCTTTTTTATGACTTGTATAGGACTTAATCTGGACATTTGTCAGTCACATTGGTTTGTAGTAATTGTAGAAATGACTTTTCGTCTCTCTTTTCCTGAGTGGGTTTTATGAACAGAACTAGAGCTACTGCAATACTTTCAGTACTACTAACAGAAAGATAAAAAGAAGTACTGCCACTGTTAAAGTTTGTACTATTTTTCTATTCTTGTGTGTGTATTTTAGGCAGGAGATGCGTGAAGAGAAGATCTACAGAGAGGCTATGAGGAAGAGGAGCGTTGTTCCCTTTTTCCACCCAGAAAATATTCCCCTGTACGAGGTACTATATTCTCTTAACATCATCTTAAAGGATTCCCAGTCGATTTTTCTATGTGCAGTGTAGAAAAACACGAAGCACCGTTTCTGGTTTTCTCAGAGTCTGCTACAGCAACAAATACCTGACATGAGGAGTTTGTCAATGGCTCTCCCACCATTTCCCAAGTCGGACAGTACTGAGGGCTTCCTGAAAGATGCGCCACAGGAGGACAGTAAGTTATGATACCTTTGTGAGTATTTACTAGAGGTATAACATGTTTTAAAGATGTTTTTTTGATTGGAATCTTCCCAAAAAAACAAAACAACAGAATAAATGAGTCTTAATGGTGACTTCGGTGACATGAAGCTGTTTATTAAACTACATTTGTGTTTGGCACTGCAGCTCCAAGGCCTTTAAACCCAACACCGTCTCAGTCTGCAAGGTAATAATGAGCAAATTATGTTTTGAACTGTTTCTCCTGTTTAATTTTTCACTCTGTGATTTAGCCACTTACAAAACTGTCATCATCAGTGCTTAATGTGTGTTTTTTCTTTTAGTCATTCAGCAAGAAGCAGCAGGGTGCTAGAAAAGAGACCCACCAACCCCACACCTCAGTCTGCTGGTTTGTTTCCAACCTTCTCATGTTTTATATTACTATTAATTCCTGGAAACCTCACCAATAATGCATCAAATATTTTTTAGGACTGAAATGACGTAAAGCCACTGTGAACATACAGACATGGAGCAGTATGATCAGTCAGAAACTGCACTCTGTGAGGACAGAGGCAGAATTTTATTTAAATTTATTTAGATCGTTGAATCTCTGCCAGGACTTGATGGCTCAGTACAAAGACAAATAATACTGTATATGATTTACACTTCTATGCAAACTTATGAATTATCCTGTGTGTGTCTGTGTGCGTGTACACGTCCAGGTGAAAGCAGTTGGAGGGATTCTTCTAGGAAATGCAAGTCACCACAGTTAGATGTGAGTGGAAAGCCCAGACAGACTACAGTCGCACTACCATCCTCTGTCCTCGGCTCTAAATCCTGCAGTGCACCGGTACAAAATCATTTATGTTTTTTTTGCCAAAAATGTGCTGGTCGAGTTTTTGTTTTGGGTGGTTCCCTAGTATTAAACTTGCTATTGGTTAATAGTATTACCACCTGTGGGCTCAATGTTTATTAAGAGAAACTTTGAACTTACATCCCAATAGTTCATTTTTTGTTTGTTTGTTTGTGAAAAGTAAAATGGCCCTTGAAGGGACCTTTAGAGGATCTATACGTTTGTGCCATAATTATTTCATAACCTGAAGGATTTTTCTCCTCTCTCCATCATCAGTGGGGTGATTAAATCCCACTGATGATGGAGTGAGTCTTTTTATCGCTGATATCCTATAAAATTGGGAGTGTTAAAAAAAGATGTTCCTATAATACCATTTGTACACATACTTTACCCTATATTTTTATCAGGGTAGTATCAAGCTGCCAGTTTTTCATTGTTAACTTTTCTTTGTCTACGTCCTCTGTTGAAGCTCCTGCAGGCGGAGGAGCAAGTGAGGAGGAAGTGTCAAACAGGTGCCATTGTGAAGGGCTTCCAGCTCATCCCATCGAGCGTAGACTTTGGCACGCTGAAGGAGGGCACCTCCTCCACCATTACTGTTGTGATGAAGAATGTTGGTTTTGACATATGCAGGTAAACCACCAGAGAGATAGAGACAAGTGATTTTAGGTTTTTGGGGGTTATTTTTGTAGTCTTAGGTCTTGTTTCAAATGTCTTTTAGTACCTCGGAAAGAAATGAGGACTGTTAGGTGGAGGCAATTTATGGGTCACCTTCAAGTCCAAAGGGAAAAGTCTGACCTAACTATTTGTGGTTTATTTCACTCTGTCGCTGCCAGGTTCCATGTGAAACAGCCTCCTCCTGCTACAGGCCTCCGGGTCATCTACAGCCCTGGCCCTGTAAGTTTTCATTTTGATGTTTAATATGAAATAAAAATTTAATGTAATATAATATTTATATTAATGTTCCAGCCACTGCTTTTCTATTTAATGCTATTGAATTAATTGTATAAATGTTCAAAACAGCTGACATTTTTTTGTTTGTTAAAGGGTTAAATTCTACTTCCTTCAATGTCTCATAGGCATATGTGGTGTCTTGTTTTACTAGGTGGCCGCAGGTCTGCAGGTCGAACTGCAGGTTCAGCTGTTTGCAATGTGTGCTGTCCAAGCAGGGGAAGTAGAGCCAAAGAAGTTAATCTCCCAGGAAATTATCATTCCTACTGAGAAAGACATCCTCTGTCTGCCAGTCACTGCTAATATCCTTTGAGCACCTAAAGAAACTCATTCAGTTTAGCTTTTAATTTTCTTACTAGAAAACAGTGTTTAAAAAAACAAAAACTTCTCTTCTGACTTCTGAAACAAGTGAGAGAAAAGTTGTGTATAAGAGATCTGCCCAGACTTAGTAACCAACACCAAGAGGTCAAACATACACGTCTGAAACAGAATCAAACCCAAAATAACAAAAAGAAAAGGATTGTTGCAGCTTTCTTTTGCTACACAGTGAATGGTATTTTCAAGCTTTTATCCGCATCATTTTTACCTGTTATTGGTAAATGCTAGCAACAAATCCATCTGAGTTTAGCACAAAATGCAAAATGAAAATGGAGTAGACCTCAGCCAGCCTACATTCACTGGTTTCACAATCGACAATCACATGTGGTAATACTACTTTTTTGTTTTTTCTTTTGTTGTGGTGACATTACTATAAAAAATAAAAGTAATCCACTGGGTTTTAGCTCCACAGATGCCAGGAGTGCTTTAATTCTAGGAAATACACAAAATTGGTGGGCTGTGAGGCAGCTGCTCATTCTTTGAATCAGGATGTGCCAAACCCCACACTTAGGCAAGCGTAATGCGAGTGTGTTACATGGTGACATGGATAAGTGTTGGATAAGTGGTAGTTGTTTTGGTTAGTGCGAACAAACTGCTTCCAATTTTACAGTAGGTCTAAAGTCCATCACTGGCCATCAGGTCTCTCAATTCCCGTTGTTCTTCTTCCAGATCTTACCCATATTGCAGAGCTATGAGCTTCTCCAAGATCTTATCCATACTGTGTTCAAAAAACACAGTCTGAGTACTCACAGCCCTGCCCATCGAGTATCCGGCAGCAAATGTCTCCGCAGGACAATCAGGCTCTCCCAAGCCCAGGAGTTGTCAGTTTCATTAAGGGACCAGTTGATAAAATCCATAATTCTTCTTTAGGTTTTTAGAGAACAAGTCTGGGAGACTATCTTAGGGTTAAAGAATAAGCCAGACTATACAAATGACATGAGAAGCCAAGCAGGAAAGATAAGGGAGAGGGAGAAAGTGCGACCGCCTCCGTCAAGAGCCAAGAGAAGGATGAAGGATTTGTTGTTGCCTAGGTTATTATTCCAGCCTCAATTTCATGTTAAAAAAAGATTTTCTTGTGTAACTAAGATTCAAAGTTACTGCTGATATGAAATTTCATGAAGATGAATGAAGATTCATGGCGTGTGTGTTGAAAGAAGTGATGTTGGTCCTTAACTAACTTCACCTATCCTTCCTGAGGGATTATATGAAATTTGGCTAAAGGACCACAGCAGGGTCCATAAAAAGAACATCTCCAAGGTCTTCCAGGCTTCCAGCTGGGCAGGGAAGCGTCCTGATCAGTCCCACAGTAAACGCAGGTTAGTGTCTTGCACCATGAAATAACATCTTTAAGATTCAGACAGAGGATAAGTCACTGATAAAACCGTTTTGTTTTCAGGACATATTAAGGACTCCAGCTTCTCTCAGTCAGATTTCACACCTTTTAAGCCTTCATCACATTATAACCATCTCACGTTTGATTATTTCTGATAAATTGTGATGTTTGATGTGAAATAAAAATATTAACCTAAGTAATTGAGGCAATTGAATTCTTATGTGTGACCATGTCTGCTTGTAACACATTATGATAAATACCTGCGCTACCTAATGTAATTTGGCTGGTACTGTACGAGTTAGAGCCGTGCCTCCTGAGTGTGGGCGCATGTCTAGCTCTACGGGGGAGACTCGCGCTGGTGCACGTGATCAGGTGAATAGATGGGGCGGGGGTTGTTGGTATATGACGTCAATGGGGACCCAAAGCAAGGTGCAAACACGACCGAATAAAGTTAAACGGAGACGGACATTCGTGTTTTGGTTGCCGTACTTCGATGCTGCCCGTTTGTCCTCTTCACCTTTGCGCAAAAAATTTAACAATCGGTGGGGTGCAGCTGGAGAAATCCTTGACTCCGGTTGCCCCCCCCCACCCCCCTGCGCTGTCGGTCACGCGCTCCCACGTGCACATACACACGCTTGTGTAGCTCGAGCATCACTGGAGGTGGCGTCAGCGACGGTTGTTACGGAGGGTGACGGGGCTTTGACTTTGGCTGCTTCGTGCCGTCTTTCTGTGAGCGCGGAGCCGGAGGATGGAGCAGGTGGAACCAAAGCAGTAAGCGGGGTCAGCGCGAGAGGATGCGGACGGGAGGCAGGGGCTACCTATAAACCAGGAGTAGATGATGCCTATTTGCCGCAGGCCCCGCCATCGTGAAATTATATACCGACTTGCGGCGGATGGGGTGACCGAGCTCCCTGCTCCGCCGGGGAGGTCCCTGCCTTCGGAGGTTACCGGGGAGGGAGCTGCCTGTGCCCCGTTCTGAGGAAGGGAAGGAGTGGCAGGAAAGAAAATGCAGACGGAGGAGGAGACGGCCGCCGCAGAAGAGCCCATTTTGGAGGAAGGGTCGGGAAGAGAGCAGGTAAGGACATTTTTTCCTGTCTCCTTGGGGTTTACATTCCAAACAAGGGTCCAGTTTACCTAAAGGTGGATGTGTTTTCGCTCACTGAAGAACTATCAATGACACAATTTCTGTCATTGCTTCCCAAACAGCCTGCCGTCTCCATGTATAGTACATGCTTTTATACGCTTATCAGTGTGCTCTTTCATTGACAAAACATGTCTTTGCCGTTGTTTCCTCCGTGATGCCTCACGCAAGGACACGGAGGAGCTTGGTTTAGTGTGAATGGAGATCAGGCTGTGGCTTTAGTAAACAGATAGGGGTGGTAGGGGGCTTAGTATTGATGCGATATGTCTGACAGGGCTGCGTGATGTGTTACTCTTGGGATGGATGGTCTTTTCTGTATAGTAGACCACGTCTACCTGCCAGCTGTCACCACAGAGATGCAAGAGGGTGACATCACAGTTTAGCCACACACCCACCTTACAGCCAGAATTACACAAGGACACGTAATGTGAAATCACGGAAAACCCTAGCAGTATGTCAGGATTTTCACCCCGGGAGTTACAATATGTTACAGTGTACCTACTCAGCAGTGTGTTTTCTTCTGATTTCCAGCTAATTTTACGAACACATATAAAGCTCATTAGCAGATATCCTTGTCCTTATTACACACATCCCTAACTACTGAAGCCTGCCTCCTGCTGCTGAAAGTCCTCACACAGGGCTCAAATGTTTATGTTTACATCTTGCCTTGAATCACTCTGTGATTACTATATTACCAGACTTAGAACAATCAGCATCATCCACTTAAACGCACTTTATCATGAAAAAAAATATAATAATATTATTAATGTAATTTACCAGTGGAGTTTATGACAAGTTTACTAGCTTGACAGAGGCTACTAACACATTCCCACAGAACGATTTGAAGACAAAGGTGGGGTGTGTTGTAATGCAAGCAGCCTGCCAGTGGCAATATGCTTGTGTCACACTTGGTGGTCAGGTGAGGCAGTACAAGGCTCCCAGTCTTATGGCAAGCCTCTTGGTCACATGTATGAATGCTATAAGGCTGCTACTATTATGTTAGTTGTCCATTAAATAAAAGCCCTTTTTTGCTTATTTGAATTACATATCTGGAAACATTCAAATAAAAATTGCAGTGACAGATTAACTGAAGAGAAAATGAGAGGCACGTCATTCATCTCTCAACTGAGTAGTCCATTAAAAGACTACTTTGGTTTTATTGGGCTTTAAATACCCAAGCAGAGTAAGTGTATTAATTGTCCAAATACTTTGAAATACACAGTACTTACAAATAAGGACTAATAAAACTGAAAATAAGAGATAAATTAAGCGTTTGGCACCTGAGAAGTGATAATTCATAAACCAATGGATGTAATGTGTGGACTAGGAACGCCTGTTAAAAGATACCTTTCACTTACAGTCCTCTGTCTGTATCCGTTCCTGCAGTGCAGACAGTGCAGTGTAATGCAATGATTTCAACCTGCATCTCTTCTCTGCCTCCATTACTCTTTTCATCTTCCCCTCCTGGTTTCCTTCCTGTTTTTTTGCCCAGTGGAGTTTACAGCCTCGTCCTCCTATCCCCCATCGTACTCGACTCTCCCACTCAAGCGTTTCCACACTCATATTTCCCTCAATTGCATTCACTTTGCGCCACATGGGTATGCATACATGTATGCACTCTTACTCAGGCATTGCTACAAATGAAGCAGAATTGAATGATTAAGATTTAAAATTGCAGCTCATACTCTTCCATACATACAAACACTCGTGCCATATTTCCATTAGCGGGAAGGTTCGTCACATCAAAGCAGGCGTTTCTAATTCCCTTCTAAGTTTCACTCGCAAATCATGAAAACTACATTCCACCACATGAGACGCCGCTCATCATCAGGAGGGCGAGGGAAAACTGTCATGTGAAAAGAGCCAGAGGAGCTGAAAAAAGCATGTAAACTTAACAAGAATAGAAACAAAATGTGTCAACAGCCACAAAACCTGACTCGACAAAGAGAAACGTTACAACTCGCTGAGAGATAAACAAGAATAGCTTTTTCTAAAATTAACACACAAGCAATGCTCTCAATTCTTTGTTTGAATGTTTGTATTCAGTCATTATGTTTGATATTAAACATGATTTTTCTTTATTTCTTCATGCCTGTGATAGTATCTTGTTGATACTGTTTTTGTCATGGGCTACAATAACAGTTATATATTAGCAAGCAATGACCTTCTACATACAGATGGAGACTAGACTTATACTGAGAGGTTTCTGTGAAAACTTTGAGCATCCACCTTTCGGATCTACAGTATTGTAACTAACATGGATTCAGGCTCACGTATAGGCCAACCTCTGCCTTCACTGATATTTAATTTATGAATAGGAGATGTCATTGTTTGGTCTGTAGTCTCCACTGAGCACACTCCAACACAGAGCAATAATGATGATAGCGTTATGAGTGTATGATGACACACTGCTGCCACATCAAGTGGTAATAATTTGTTTGCTGCCACCGAACAGTTAGTAGAAACCTGACATCTCCAAATGACTCCCTCCAGTTGTGTTGAAATGACATAATTTTTAGCAGAGCACTGTAAGCATCAGCAGCACATTTTCCTTTCTTCGCTCCCTCACTTCATTTGCCACCCACACGCTAGGATTGCTAATTATAGCTGCTCCAGTCACACCTAACCAGCTGAATCAGTATGAGCTGAAGCACGGAAGGACGGGAGAGCAGCGCACGTTTTCTATTAGACACCTTAATACGGAGAGAGGGTTGTACGATCCTTTCGTGCGAAGCGCACAAACACGGTTAACGGGAAAGGCCTGTGAATGTTTCAGTTAGTAGAAGCAGGGTGTTTGCTCAGGATGTTTAAAATTACTTCTTTAAAATCTTGTTCACAGATCAAGCTGGTCCAAGATCTAAAAAAACAGCCATCTGCAGTCATTGTGGGTGCTCGGGATGCTTCTCGAATGTAGATTGTGTCAAAGTGTCTGCGTTTTGAGCCCAGCAAAACTTTGTCAAGCAGTATGTTTTATGCATATTTAACCCTGAAACGATGTCATTAATGCAACAGAATATGTCGTGTCAGAGCCACTCGCCCTCTTCAAAAGAGCTTCTAAGGAGAGCAGTTCAGACTTTCAGTATGAAATAGGAAAGATGACACCCTCCAGGCTGGGCTATATAGATTTCTTTGCATAATGGTGTCAAGGAAAGTGAGATTTCACTTTGATCTGTTGCAGCCTACAGAGGCAGCTTTAACAGACACAGGATCGCGACACAGCCAGAGTTGTTTTTATAGACAAAAGTGTTGATTGTTGGTCAGTCCTTCAGGAGGTAGGTGGTGGGCAAAAGTCTTGAGTCACCCCTCATTTCTTGCAGTATGTAAGGGAAAACAGATTTGTACAATTTGAACAAGCTTGAAAGTAAATATTTTAGTGGGGTCAACACAATGACTCTCTCAGACTAAGATGAAAATCTGTTGGCGCTTTTCTGCATTCGTAATTCCATCAATTTTGACAAGATCTCCAACACCAGTGGCTGAAAGCAGCTCCAAACCATGACAGAGCCAAACTGTGTTTTACAAAGGGCTGTAGACGCCCACAGTGTAACTCCTCTGACCTTCTCCATCCATACATACGTGAAAACTATTTGAACCAACATCTTCACATTTGGATTCATCACTCCATACGTCCTGTTGTCACAGATTTCCAGTCCATTTCTTGTGTAATTTGGTATACCTCAGCCTCTGCTCCATTTCCCTTCATTAAAAATGACTTCCTGACAGCCACCCGTCCACTGAGACTGTTTCTGATGAGGCTTCAGTGTACAGCAGATGGATCAACTAAAGGTTCAGTCTCTCTCAGGTCCTGTGTCAGGTCTTTGCTGGACTTTTTCTCTTGTTTCTTAACATTAATTTCAGATACTGTTCAATACTGTTGTTTGTTTTAGTGTAGACACAACACTGGTTCATCTCTTGAGTTAGGTGCCTTTTTATGCCTGAACGATTCACAGATCAGTGTTAAGTAAACAAACAAAAAACATTCCTCTGAAGATGATATATAAAAGATCAGCGTTGCTAAAAGTTAGTGGAGTCTATTCAACATAGTTAACC